TAGTATATATATATATATATATATATATATATATATATATATGTGTATATAGATAGATAGATATGTTAGTCTACGCGGGATAGTAAGTTGAACCTATTACTGTTGTTTTTATTTTGTGATTTTATATATTAAAAGGTTCAGCATTGCAACTATGGTGCTAATTTATCCACACAAATGGAGGATACATATGCATATATACTTTGGGTAAGTTTCAGGAAAAATGTCACGCACGTCTCTTTCTGCTTTAACAAAAGACTTCTTATATCTCGTATACGAAACAGGGTGACAAACATGAAATATACCCCACTCCGTGCTTCTCTTTCTCCCCTTTTACTTTTTCTTGCCAGTGCTTTTTTCCGCTCCGTTCATATTCATAGGAGGTTGCTTCCTTATATTGTCATTCCTAATCTCTTTTTTCTTTTTTTGTGGTTTGGTTGGTTTGTCATCCTCCTTGTTGTTGCGGCTGTGGTTAGAGTCCTCCTCAACCATGCAGGGAAGCAACGCATTGCAGAGCCCCTTGACTTCGGAGGGGCGGGAACCCCCGAATGGCGGGGAAACCCCTGGAAACCCCGCACCGATCAACGGAACGAATGAAACCCTTCCAAATCAGCCCGCTCGGCAACGAACGGGGGGGGAAGAAGGGGGAGGAGGGGCTCCACGGCCTCCACGATGGGCCGCGCTGGAAACGATGCCGCCGCGTCGACGTCCGGGGGAAATTCCCGCCACTGAAGGCGATCCCGACCTCCCGCCACGGCCGTTTCTCCCCACCCCCGAGGACGTTCGCGCGCAAGAGATGCAATTCAGCAAAGTCGCCGCGGCCAAGGCGGCGAAATCGAAAGATCCCGCCCGGGCGAAGTTTCGTTTGATGCAGAATTTTCGTTCGCTTCAGAAATCCATCAAGGACGGCGTCGGCGTCGGGGTCTCCGCGCACCCGATTGACGGGGATCTCTTCCACTGGCGGGCCGTCATCGCGGGGCCGGAGCGGACGCCCTGGGAGGGCGGGCTCTTTAAACTCGACCTCGTTTTCACCGAGGAGTACCCGATGGAGCCGCCAAAGGTGCGGTTTCTCACCAAAAACATCCTCCACCCGAACGTCTACGTGGATGGGAATATCTGTATGGATATCCTGAAAGGGTTTTGGAGCCCGACGCTGGATTTGGAGAGTCTGTTGGTGTCGATCGTCTCGCTGCTTTGCGATCCGAATCCGAGCTCCGCGGCGAATTGCGAGGCCGCGCGGCTGCTGACGGAAAACCGATCCGTGTACGACTACAACGTCCGGAAATTGGTCGAACAATCCCTCGAGCAATCCTTTAGTGACATCGAAGACGAGAATGACGAAGAGTGACTCTCTTTTTCTCAATCCTCCTAAAGCAGAGTGACGCGAATGAATTTAGGAATGCCACGGCGATCAAAATACCCCCTGAAGTTCGAAACCGTGTTCGGGGGGGCCGTTTGCTGCATGTTTTTTTTTCTTTTTGAAAGAGGTGGTCGTAAGGGGATATACAGTTTCCCTCCTCAGGGTCTTCTATTGATGTACTTTGATCCTTTCCCTTTGTTTGTGGTTCGAGAGGGAGCTGAATTCTTTTTCTTGCTTCTTCTTTTCACCAATAATATCAAGAAGGTTTCATTGGGGGGAGTAACTTACCACACAAATGGGAAACGAGAAAAACCAGTAGACCTTTGTACTTACATTGTTTTGAGGTTGTAGTGAACCCTCCTTTCGTTTTCCTATTCGATCGATTGCGATAACGAGAAGGTGACGCGGGCGAATTGCCCTATGTCTTCCATTAGGCTATATTCGCTGTATCTTACGCCGTGGTGATTGATCCCATCCGTGTATTATCCATCGAATGATGTAAGTCACTCCATGAATACTTGGGGTGACTCCTCTTACGTTGAGTTTCATAGTGCACCTACGTGTGGGGGGTTCCTTCGAGCCTAAGTTTGACGAAGATGATATTCCTTCGGAAAAAAAAAATGGACTAAACGGCTGTTTTATCGGTAGTTTTCGTCGCATGTGAATCATTCCCTCCTCTTCCTCCTCCTCCTTTTTTTATTATCGTTGCTGCCTGTAACATCGAACCGTTAATTAGAGGTGAGAGGGTGTGCATATTGTGGTGGGCATCCATTTGAGAGATTGCGCAAAATGATCAATGAAGAGGTTTACCTGTTCTGCCCTCAACTTCGACTCATTCCCTACCTTCCGCATCATGTTCCGCGCTATAACGAGTGGATGTCCGACCCCGCGCTGCTCGCCGCGACGGAAAGCGAGCCGTTGAGTTTGCAAGAGGAGTACGAGAATCAGCACTCGTGGCTGCGGTCTATGGAGAAGCTCACATTTATTTTAGCTACGCCCCTTTCTGGATGGAACGATCCCACACGCGAGCCCTCCGATTCCGATGGGTTCGATCGAACCCATCCGGCCTTGAGGGATCAGCAAGGGCCATTCAACGATGCCGATGAAACCGTTCAACCACTCCTCGTCCGTCGGGAAGGGCCGTGGGTTTGCAGCCCTCGAAACCCGCGCCCCTTTGCGTGGAAGGCCATTCGTGCGTGGTTTCCCCTCATCGCGGAAGACGACGAGGTCTCGTTCGAGCCGGTTTCCGCGGACGATCCCGCCCGGATCCCGCGTCCCCCCTTGGCGGGTTCAAAGCCCCTTCCCGCGCGCTTCATTCCCACCCGCCCGAAGAATCTCTTCACCGGCGAGGCCCTCCCATCGGGCCGCCTGGAGGGCTTTGGAAATCCCAGCGTTGGGAAGCCCTCTTTTGTGATGATTGGGGATTGCAACTTATTCGTGCTTCCGGAGGAGGTGGAGGACGGCGAAGGCGAGGGAAGGCCGTCCCCCTCGCGGCCGAGCGATCGGCGAACGTTTGAGGTCGAGGTGATGATTGCGTATCCGCCGTATCGTCATCACGGGCTCGCCGAGCGCGCGCTGCGGATGCTGATGCAATATGCCACCGCCGCCCTTGGCGGGACCGACTTCGTGGCGAAGATTTTAGACACCAACACCGCGAGCCTTCACCTGTTCGCGCGCAAACTGGGCTTTCGGGAGTTCAAACGTGTAGCGGTCTTTCACGAGATTCACTACACCCGTTCGATCTATACCGCGGCGGAAAAACAAATCTGGGCGGCGGAGTGTGCGGCTGCGGGGTGTGGGGATTGTGGGTGTGCGGCGTATACGGCGGATGTGGAGCAAAATATGGTGCTCCTCGCCCGGAATCCTTCTCGTTGTTAAAAAGGGCATCTCAGGAATAACCGGAACTACGGATTATTCATGGGATCTGCGAGCCGTTGGGGTTCATCGTGTGATTTCGCGGACCCCCATTCGCGTTTGAAAGACTAATGGTACGAATCCTAATTCATCTGATGCTTCGATGACTCCCGCTGCGATGCATTCAGGGGGATCGCTTAAGGCTCCCTTAAGCGAGCAACCCCACTGGGAGGCATTGCCTTCCAACGAAACCGAAAGGAAGGGGGGGGGGGAGGGAGAATCCCCCGCCCGATCTCCTCTTTGATTCCCATCACCCCCCACACGCGTCTTTGGTTCTCCCCTCTCAAAAAAAAAAACCCAAAAAAATGAAAAAAGCAAATCAAGGTAAGGCAACCAACCCACGAACAAAAGCACCCTCAC